ATATGCTTTGTGCAAGCAAGTCTGGATGAATGCTGAATAAATAGGTTGTCTGGAGGAGCATCAAGTTACATGCTAATCAACAGTGATAGAAATTTAGGTTGTGATTCCTAAAGAAACTTGATTAGGGAGTAAACCGCACTGACCACAGTGTAATTTACTTTCAAGTAAGCAGGGCTAGAACTCCACCACACATAATGAAAAGTGCATTATTGTTAAAATACTTACAGTCACAATATTATCCAATTGTCTCTTATGAATTGAAGGTAAAACAATTGTTTCTTTTTCACCCTGTAGGAAATACAGCATAAAATTTTGCTGTGCCTCAATTTTGCAGACTATGCATTCAGCCAAAGCCAGATAAAAATAATGTCTGTTGTTACAAGACTAGAAAAGTCTACATAGGCTCTGGAAATGGTGTGTACCAATTTTACAAAAATGAATCTGTATCTGTATACAAAATACATAACAAAGTAATTTTTTATATAATTCTACGTAAAGTGTTTGGACCCCACCCCCACCCCTGGAATCCAAAGGAAAGTGTTCAGAAACTTTAGCTGGCTCAGAATGCTGCAACCAGATTATTGAGTGGAGCAGGTTACAGGGAGAATGTTACTCTTTTGTTAAAACAACTTTGCAGGCTACTCGTCCATTTCCGACCACAATTGAAAGTGCTGGTTATGACCTACAAAGCCCTATGTGGTTTGGGCCCAGGCCTTCTGAAAGATTCTATCTCCCTATAAAAGCTTACACAGATGCCAAGATCCTCAGGTGAGCATCTTCTCTTGATCCCATCAACATAGGACCCATGGTTGGTGGTGATGCAAGAGAGAGCTTTTTCCATTGTCGCTTCCATATTGTGGAATTCCCTCCCAAGAGAAGTTAGACTTGCTCCCCTCTTTGTTACCCTTCCCCCTGCAGGCTAAGATCTCCTTATTCAGGCAGGCCTTTGAAAATTAAGGTGCAGATGAGATCACTGGGCTGCTGGCAGGGCAAACTGATACCACCAGATAAGTGAGAAGTGGCTGTGGTGCACTGAGGCTGCCGCATGATCTCACAGGATCTTGCTGAAATCCAGAAGTTGCAGCCGTGCAACTGGTTAGCAAGGCCAGAGGCAAGGTCGTGTGTGTGGTACATGTGTTGGGCAGCCGCTTGCTATTTCACCTCAGGCGGCAAAATAGGCTGAGCCTGCTTCTGTGTCTGCATGCGCCTAGGGCACATGTACATTTTATGCTGGCTTCTAATTGTTTTATGTTGACTGTATTGATATGTTCTTAATTGGTCCTGATGCTATTTGATGGTGATTCTGTATTTATTGATTCATAACTTTTGTAAACACCAAGATGACTTTGTTGATAAGCAGCATAAAATTGTTGTAAATAAGTAAATATGATATATTACATCTATTCTCCCTTTCTTAATCTCTGAGAATTTAACAGAAAGATTGGGCACTTTTAAATTGAAATGAAGTTACAGAGGAGGATATGGCCTCTAACAATATAAAAACTAGCATAAAAATTCAACATCAGATTTATTTTGAAGCAATGGTTTAGATAAGTACTGTAGATCATAACCTTTCAATATTCATAATGTGTTGAAATCTGCTGACAGTTTTGAGTTGAAAATAACACAAGGGTTAGGTATCTTTCATCTATGCTTTTTAACACTGGGGTTCTTACACAGCCCAGATACCCCCTCCAAAAATGTGAGGGTGAAATACAGTACAAAGTTTTACAACAGAAACCAACATAGGAAAACTAGTTTGTAATTTAAAACTAGTTTTAATAAAAGATCTAAGATTTACTCAAAAGGTACTTACTGTATGTAGAGGCTTCTGAGACAAATTTCCTTTTGTGTAAGCTGCCCACATGGTTTCTGCACAGATGTTTAAAGTCAGAAAATGTAGAAAGTCAGCTTAGAGGAAAGTTTTATTTCATTGCCTCTTGGGTATTGGCGGATTGTTTTAGCTCTCTCCTGAGCTAAGAATCAGTTAGTTGTACTCCAAAACATATAACCGAACATCTTCTTATGCTTCCTTCCAAAGTTATAATTTTAGTAAGAAGAGAACAGATTTAGTAAGAAGACGGCAGGGCACAAATCTAATTACAAGTACTGCTGCGTAACTGAAAGTATTATCAGCCAATTGCAAACATCATTTCACATTTCCTTCATTTGCCTTTGAGAAGTATAACACGTATTTACAAAATACCCATGACGTAGTAGGATTTTCTCTCCCACAGATGCTTCCAAATAGCAAACAAAAACCCCATCTCTCTTCCCAGCACTATTTTTCTTCTCTGCCTCTTGGCGTATGGAAGTGAGTAAGTTTACTGATTCCCAGGCAGCGCTAACCCATAGCAACATACAGTGGCAAAACCTGTTTGACTTGCCATTCAGATTTTAGCCTCCTTTTAAGAGCTGTTGGCTAGAACAGTCAGCTCCAAAGCCAAATAAAAAAGAGGAAAGAGAAAAACAAGCCAAATAGCTGAACATTATTGTGCTCATAAGAATGTGTTCAGCACTCGATATGAATCTCTACCTTTATTTATTATCTCACTTTATTACAATTAGCTCAAAACAGATTCCTATACAAATTGTTGCGAAAAATAATTAAGCCATTGTTGTCTGGAGTTTGTTAGGTGGCTGTTTTTTGCCGGTAGGTAACAATGAACAAATTTATTAATTATACAAAATCAATCGTGCTAGATTGAGCGGCAACAATTGTTTCCCAATCAGTAGAGTTGAAATGGCTCATCAGGATAGTTGACCCCAGACCACAGCCTGCCTATCACACATGGTACAGCTTCATAGAAGACAATGGTGCAACATGGGACCAACCACACAGAACCACTGTGGAATTATTTCAGTTGGTCTCAAGTTTGAGCAGTTTGGTGAGGATTGTTACAGTTGCCTTACTGGATGAGATAACTAACTCTGTTGAAACCACAACACAGGGCAAATTCAGATAATTGTGTTAGAAGTTATAATTGGAAGCCACTTCTGCCTGCACATTTTTTAAGCGAAAGAACACAGCTGGAAGAGAGGTGGTTTTGCTGCAATATATTCTTAGGCAGCCTCCTGATATTTTGGACTATAAGTCCGTTTACCTTAAATGATACAGCACCTCTTACCTCCACAGTCCGGCAAGGGAAAGGGTAGGCTGGTGTAACCCCAAAATTGGTCCTCGCATCGTCCTGGGAAGTGGGACTACAACTCCCATTAGCCCCAGCCCGGATGGGGTGGGATATTTTAAGATGTTTTAATTACAAGGAAAGTGCAGAAGCAGAGTGTGCCCTACAATGCAACATGCAACTAAAGATCAACCAGTGTGTCTGAAGTATTCAGATATCCTACCTTTCAAGGTTTTCCTTCAAGAGCCTACCAATTCTGACTTCATGTCAAGTGGCGGCAGAAAGGAGACAAGCAATTCCGGTTTGTTTGTTTCCCCCCCCAACTGGTCTATTCAGATAAATTGTCATGGTAACTAAATTTCTACTCTGCATAAACTGAGTTTCCTCTCCCTTGGGGAGTTATTGAACAAAAGCACTCTATTCTCCATAGCTGGCAGTCCCGTCCCCGCATCAGCAGAAATACAGGTGCTCACGACAAAGATGTTAGATGTTTAATATCTGGATTCCTTTCATAGAAATTGTGTGTGAAAGGCGCAATAATTTATGTAGGCATTCACTGCACTAAAAATTACATAGCCGAGTGCCTACATATCCTGTTCGTTTTTGTGATGGCTCTAATTAAATTTCAAACAAGCGCAGATATAACATCTATTTGTAGAAAGGCGGGAGTTGTCAAAATATAACTTGGCCTGTGATCCAATCTGTTGATCATGCTATTTAATTTACTTATTTGGGAGGATATGTAGGTTTGGATCCTATATTGATTCCCCAGTAGCAGGGGGTGGGGGAGAACACATGGAGCAGGCTAAACTGTTTCTGGAGCAGTCTTTCTCTGCTAAAATTATCCCGCTCTCGTCAGTTGTCCCTGTTTGAAATGGTTCTTTACAACAGAAACATTCCACCAGTTTGCTCACATCCTCAACACTAGGACATCCCATGCATTTCTTTTATTCTGTGTGCTACATGCCAACTCACCCACTGTTGCTCTATCTCCCCTTCCCCCTTCCATGACGGCTATGTTCTACTCACATTGTTCGAGGCAGCATGTTACTGGGAATCACAGGTTGGGGGAGCTTTGTTTCCAGTGTTATTTTTCTAGAAAAAGAGGCGCTTACCATGAACGCCTCCCTTGTTCTCTTATAGTGGCAATGGCGCCCACCAGAGAGGTGCTGGAACTGAGTTCTGGTGAGTTCCATCTGGAAAAAACACACCCACACCCAATCCTGTGCTCATGTCCTGCTTGCAGCCTTCCAGTTGGTCACTGTGAGAATGGGTAAAGGTACCCCTGCCCGTACGGGCCAGTCGTGTCCAACTCTAGGGTTGCGCGCTCATCTCGCTCAAGAGGCTGGGAGCCAGCGCTGTCCGGAGACACTTCCGGGTCACGTGGCCAGCGTGACTAAGCAGCATCTGGAGAGCCAGCACCAGTGCCGCACATGGAAACGCCGTTTACCTTCCCGCTATAAAGCGGTACCTATTTATCTACTTGCACTTTGACGTGTTTTCGAACTGCTAGGTGGGCAGGAGCTGGGACCGAACGACGAGAGCTCACCCCGCCGTGGGGATTCGAACTGCCGACCTTGCGATCAGCAAGTCCTAGGTACTGAGGTTTTACCCACAGCGCCACCCGCATCCCTGCGAGAATGGGATGCTGTGCTAAATAGGCCTTTGGCCTGCTGCAACAGGGCTCTTCATGCGTCTTGTAGCATATTGTTACAGAGACACATAATGCTGCCCAGCCAAATTGAAGCAGGTTGAAGTCACAAAGATTTTGATAGCAGATTGAAATATGTGCTGAACTCTACAGTTGAAGTTTCTGCTTAACTTTGGCCCACCGTATGCACAGGGCCTAAATGCAAATAAACACACAACACAGCAGATAAATATATATTTATTTAAACCCCTCCCTTCCCACAATAAAAATTAGATGGCATTAAGGCATCTTATGCTCTATTACTATTTAAACAGTAAAGAGAACTTTTAGATACAAGACGGCACATCTATTCAAAATTCCGCTTTATCTACCCATTTGGTAGTTATATCCATCTCTTTATTCATTAACATATACAAGAAAACATGACAACTCCTATTTTTCCAAAGGAAGAAAATAACGAAAAGAAATAAATGGTGCCCAGCATTTATGGCGGGTACTGTGCTACCTTTTGAGAGGAAAAATACAAACTACCATAAATGCATTTCCAACAGAGAAAATGTACTGGTGGGTTAGTACTAGTTATTTTTTCATCACAGTTTTTCATACAGTGGAATTCTATGCAGGTTTACTCAGAAGTTCTGAGTTCAAGGAAGTGTACTCCCCAGTGTGTTTTGGACTGCAGTCCTATCAGAATTCTAATTACCCATTTAAAAAATAATAATTATCAGAAGTGAAATTATATTTAGCCCATCAACTTTGTGGATGAGTGAGGAACAGTAACTTCATAGATAAAAGGTAAGATTCATTGCTGTCAAATAACAGTGGCTCTGGATTGAATAGGATAGTTTCATTTGTATTGGGAAACAGCTTGGGATGTGTATCTTTCGTTATGCTTATAAAAGAGGTGGGATGATTTGGCTGAAACTGGAGGGACTCAGCAAGTAAGCCTTGTGGATTTCAATATTCCCCCATAATTAATGACCTGACGAGGTCTGTGGCCACTGGAGTATTAGCTAGAGTAACAAAGTGTATCCCAACAATTCACTAGCTTTATATGCTGCTGCTGCTGCTGTAGTAGTAGTAGTAGTAGTAGTATTTATTGAATTTATATACCACCCACTTACCCTGATTACGTGCTGATGTAATAATAAATCAAGTAGTAGAAGGGTGTGTACAAGTGGGGCATTGCCTCTGCAGTGGCTACCGGCAATCAACCAAAGGTTTCTGGGGAAAGGTTCATGGCTGGGATGAAAGGAGCTGGGAGAAATGATGGCATTCTGGGGCTTAAATTTATTTTATTTATTCAACCAAATTTGAAAACTGCTTGACTGTAGTAAAACTTCTAAGCAGTTCACCAGAACTATTAAAATTATCAACAAAAACAGTTAAAGTCATTAAACACATTTAAAGTTAATTAAAATCAACTGTAAAAAAGATTAAAACACCTCAACTTCTATGCAAGGCAAGCAAATATTTAAATGGGGCTATTGGCTCATGAACCGTTGACTCCCATTGGCTGTAGTGCTGCCCCGTCTATACATGCCGCTCTTTTCCAGCCTCTTCTGCTAGGATATTTCATCCAGGGATTGAACTTGCAACCCAATGTCTATGGAGCTTCTGCTATCCCATTCCACCGAGTTGCAGCTCCAAATGCACCTAGTGCATCTAAACATGGTTGGGGCAGTGATGGCCAAACTTGGCCCTCCAGCTGTTTTTGGACTACAACTCCCATCATCCCTAGCTAACAGGACCAGTGGACAAGTTTGGCCATCACTGGTTGGGGGAAAGGGTGTGTGTCATAGCAAAGGGTAATTACAAAAGCCACATTGTGGGTCTGACTTGTGCTAATTCCTGTGGCAGGCGGTGACTTCATTCTCTTCTGTCTCACGTTACAGCACTCCATCCTAACAAACTACCAGATAACTCCTGGTGCTTTCTGCTGTGAACTCCCTACCATACTGTTCCTCCTTTCTTGCCTCTGACTTCTCCATTAGCAAAATCTCTTTTCTCTCCATGGAAGACACCAACATATAAGCTATGTGGATTGTTCCGACAGTTGTCAGTGTATGATCACTGCAAATCTCAAATCTCGTTCAAGTGCCCACAATTCTCAGAGATGGATCTGCTCACTAGGATATTGGGTCACCAATGGAGTGGTTCTCCTTTCTTCCCTTCTTGTTTGCCTGGCAAAAGTATTATTGTTGTAGGCTGTGGATTGGCAGAAGATTTAATCCCTGTCTGAAGGGAGGCCTGATGGTTGTAGTTTCTGCCTACTGCTACCTCCCTACAGCATGGTGAGGTGGAACCATCTCTCTCTAGTTGTACATGGGACACCATGTGTACTGGCTCAAGCATATAATGAGTGCATTTGTTCTTTGCCATGGGCTGATAACTGATGCAGGGACTGTACCAATGCAAGGGCACTATTAGTGGCTGGTAGGCAGCTGTAGATTTGCCATGGGAATAAAAGTTGATACCTTATCTTTTGTACCTCATGATCCTGTTTTGCTTTCTAGGACTGTGACTATATTACAGCTGGGAAGCTGTGCTAGAGGGAGACCATGGGATTGGGTTGAAAAATGCATTTAAAGAATACCACGGTTCAGGAAGATCCAAAATTTAGCCTGTTCATTGTAGATTTCATCTGAAAAGCTGGATCAGTAGTTATTTAATCAGTAGTTAGATCTCTGAGTTATTCAAGCCCCTTCGCCACGGCAAGGCAGTGATCCATGAAGGAGGATCAGTAATGAATAGTATTTGAAATAACACTGAAGAAGCTATGCAAGAAAGAAATATAAAATAAGACTAGCAGCTAGGGCATTAGATGATTCGCTTTCAGTTTTGCATGATTTAGTACAGGGTCAAAAAGTATAAAAGCAAATTACATATTGTTATATTCAGAGTCCTGATAGTTGACATTGAAATAGAAGGAGACAATCTTCAACCTAATTTCTTTAAAGGCAAACATGTGATATGAAGAAAGTGATTACGGATACCAAAAACATTTCCCTCTAGGTAAGCACACCTTTTCAGATTACAATGTGTGAGGAACTGTCATTTTATAAAATGTAAATGAAAAAAGAGAGAATATGGCAGTTGATTCCAAACAGTGTTGTAGTAAAAGCTGATGTTTTCCTATATCAGTGTCCTCCTATTCATCATCCTTGGAGCCAGTTTTGCTTAGCTGAAAAAAAGATTAAAATATTCAGTAGCTACCATTTTTCTTGGCCCCAATCTGCAGATTTTCTGTTAACTTTTTTCTTTCTTAAAGGCAGGTATCTGAGACTGGTACTGCTAGTATTTAGAATATCACAAAATTCAGTAACAGGTGTAAAAACCGATTTACTGCCAAAACAAAGAGAGCTGCTTATACAAAAAGTTGCTGAAAGGGTTGGAGAGACATACAGTAAAAAAAGAAACCCTGAGAGTACGGACCTGGGACTATAGCACTGCTCAGAATCTCAGTGCATGGAAATAAAGTATGTCTTGGCCTGAGGCAGTTCATCAGATGCTTTGTGGCAACCTTAATGAAACTCAGTAGACATGTTTTACCACTTTATAAGACAGCCTGCCCGGACAGCCCTTAAAGTATTGTTTTTTTAATTAACATTAGATTACTAAAAAGTTTGATTTGTTGTGATTCTTCTGTGATCGTTCCTTCACACATGCAAACCATCACTTTGCACTATAGTCAATAGTCTTGTTTGCATATCACTTTATAGCATGGTGAGCTTAGCTGTAGTTTAAAAGTGAATATGAAGTGTGATGAAGTACAGGGGGGAAATTAGGCATTGGTTTAAGGTGATATGTGAAGCAGGCTAGTGTACAACATAATTACAATGACGGAGGAATGCAAGCATGCAGGGAGATGGCAATTACACATGTGGGCATTGAACTTATTTGTAAACAGTTAACCTGTATTAATCACACATTTACAAGCACTGGGAACATCACACAATATTTTGATTTCCACTTTCTTGCATATTCAATACAGTGGTACCTCGGGTTAAGTACTTAATTCGTTCTGGAGGTCCATTCTTAACCTGAAACTGTTCTTAACCTGAAGCACCACTTTAGCTAATGGGGCCTCCTGCTGCTGCCGCGCCGCCAGAGCACGATTTCTGTTCTTATCCTGAAGCAAAGTTCTTAACCTGAAGCACTATTTCTGGGTTAGCGGAGTGTGTAACCTGAAGCGTATGTAACCTGAAGCGTATGTAACCCGGGGTACCACTGTATTATATATCAGATTTGGTTGAAAAGCTCTAACAATTACTATTCTTTTCACAAAAGTGGTAGGCTGGTTAGCCAATACTTCTGAATTTGTTAAAAAAAAATATGTGGACACAATTCAATAGGATTTCTTTTCATGTTTAGGATAAGTGCCCTAAAAACTTATCAAAAGGAGAAAGTATCCCAAATAACCTTGGAATTAAAAGTATCTCAAAACTAGTACAACAATTCATGAAGACTGAAATACTTACATGCTACATAAGGGCAAGAAGAGAATCCAAATGCCATCCATGTCCAAAATGGTTAACAAAAAGAAGAGAAAGGGAGAGAAACAGATTAGACACTGCTGAAGTCTCTTAAATATATATGTATTAAATAATTTTCAACTGTGATGTATGTTACCTTTATTACATCAACCCAATTCCATCCTCGAGGAAGCTCTCCTTTGTGATCTATTCAAAACACCACAAACAAGCTGTTAATTTTCAATTTTCAGATTTTAATTAACCACTTCCTGGTTTGCACCAAACCACATCTTGCTGCGAGATTCGAAATGCAAACTATTATTTGCAGCCACACACTAAATAATTAAATGGGGTTCATAAGGGGAGTGGGAAGGAAGGACGATGTGAACACAGGGTTCATTCTCATAGTGCAGGGGTCAGCAACCTTTTCCAGCTGTGGGTTGGTCCGCTGTCCCTCAGACCATGTCGTGGGCCAGAGTATATTTTTTGGGGGGGAATGAACGAATTCCTATGCCCCACAAATAACCCAGAGATGCATTTTAAATAAAAGGACACATTCTACTCGTGTAAAAACACGCTGATTCCTGGACTATCCATGGGCGATTGGGCCGCATCTGGCCCCCGGGCCTCAGGTTTGCCTACCGCTGTCATAGTACCAAACCATGGTTTGATCTTTTTATGGGAGCCAACTCAATAACTACTGAAAGATTAACTGTATTCACCCACCCACACACCCACACCCACCACACAGCTTTAATAAACATTTTATTATTAAAGCACCCAAAAAAGCAAAAAATCCTGCACAAATATATAAACATAATATACAAACATTGGTAAAATCCTGTACTTTGACAAACATTTTTTAAATCTCCTAATTCATACAATAACAAAATGCATCTTTTAAAAAAATCTAAAAGAAACATATGAACTACACCATACACACCTGTTTTATCTGCTAACTTTCGTTTTTGTGTTTTGGTCAATTGCTCCTTTTTCTCTTTTTTCTTACTAGTTTGTGCTGCGTCTGGATGTCCTGTTGAGATGCAGTTGTTCAAAGCTGTCTAAAAAACGTAATTTGTTAATAAGATATTTCTGTAATTTATTGGCACTTTCTCTCATCCTTGGGTTCCCATCTAGTAAAGATCCAACAGCTTCAGATTTTCATCTATACTTTTCTACACTGGAAACTTTGCATTTACTGGCTATGAAAGCTCATTATGAGATAAGTATATTTGTGTTGCGACTTATCATAATCCTTGTTGACAATACATGGAGTTTTTTATATTGTAGCCAGTGAACAATATACAATTCTAGGTATGATAATCAGCCATCTTTACTAACAACATCCAGAATACCGATTTGTACCTGAGGCAAACAGTTACTAGTTTACTATAGGAAAGTGAAGCTTTTCTAGAAATGTGAACTTATTCTTGCAGTGGCAGTTTGGCATTGACTTCTTAATATTTGGGGAAAAACACTAGTATTTTGAGATATATAAAGAAGTTATCAGCTTACCGCAATATTAATGGGTTGGTTTTCCATAAACAGCTCTTTATTATCTTTGGCATATTCAAAAATTGTGTATGTCATAGAGGTACCAAGGTTGACTTCAACTTCTTCCATTAATTTGTTCAATATACTTTGCTTTATGGTGGAGGCTCTAGGAGAAATAATAGAACTTCCTTTTAGGGATAGATGCAAAAGAAGGCTATTCCAGAAGGAATGCCACTTCTTATAATCTGGACTACTTACATAGAGTTATTGAAGAATGCATCCATAGAGATGACTGGAGCAGTTTGAGGGTATGTTTCTGGCCATGATATTTCTATCAGGAAAGCTTTAGGGTCTCCATTTTCACCTATCTGGAAAATATTTATAAAGCATGGCAGTGTAAGAAGAATCCAGAAAATCCCCCCAAAAAATTTTAAACCAATGGAAAAAATACTGAAATATAATTGTATAATTGTTTTATAACAAGGATCCTTCACTGTTGATTTTTATTATTATCATCATCATCCACAGAATTGAGTCTTTAGATAAGATGACTGCAACACTAATTGATACAAATGTAAACTATTACTTCACAGGAATCCATGCAACTGCCATTAGAAAACAATAATAAAAAAAGACATTTGCTCCATAGGTAACTTTCCTCATTCTGAATAAACACAGTATTATTACTGTTTAATTATTAATTCAAATTATTCTTAATTCAAATAATTATTGCTTAATTCAAATGAGATTGCTGGATAACAGCATGAATCTGAGCTCGACTTCACAAATTGCATGCTGCCAACCCTATGAAAATGGATCTGGCTATTGAAGCTTAGAGTTGAATATTCCTTCATTCACAACAAGTGAATATTAGACTAGTGGTGTACTTTTTTCTTTAAAAATTGGTTACCCACTTTTCCTATAAAATAATCCCAAAGCAGAGTACAATAGTTAAATCACAGTAAATGCATGCAATTAATCAAGAAATCAATAAAAAACCCAGTAAAAACTATGACATGCATATATCTTGGAAGAATTGGGACTCAGTTCAAGTCAACACAGATTACTTTTCTGTAATAAAACCTCATGCAAACTCACCCTATATTGAAAGGAAATCGGGCTAAGTTCCCTAAAACACTCATCACCTTCATAAATAGAACGTAATGCTTCTAGCTCCATCTGAACGAAAGAAAAGAAAATTATTAATATTTTTAAAACCTAAAGAGAACATTTGCACAAATCTTTAAAACACAAAATAATCCTAAGGGTAATGCTGCAGGAAAGGGCCAGAGATACTTAGCCAGTAGTGGTCTTGGTGAACTCCTATTTGCTTCTTAACCATTTAAATTGTGTACAATCTGTTTATGTATTAATATTTGATATTTCATCACCTTCAACCTTAGTTCAAAATAATTTTTAAAAAGAGAACATTAAGTAAAAAGGGGTTTAATACTACTACTACTAATGTGCTGTGGGTTAAATCACAGAGCCTAGGGCTTGCTGATCAGAAGGTTGGGGGTTCAAATCCCCGCGACAGGGAGAGCTCCCATTGCTCGGTCCCAGCTCCTGCCAACCTAGCAGTTCGAAAGCACACAGTGCAAGTAGATAAATAGGTACCGCTCCAGTGGGAAGGTAAATGGCGTTTCCGTGGACTGCTCTGGCTTCACCAGAAGCGGCTTAGTCATGCTGGCCACATGACCCGGAAGCTATATGCCAGCTCCCTCAGCCAATAAAGCAAGATGAGCACTGCAACCCACAGTAATCCGCGACTAGACCTAATGGTCAGGGGTCCCTTTACCTTACTAAGGATAACACCAACCTAGCAGAGGTGTATTATGTTGGGTATGAAATAAAAGAAAGACGAAAAACAATATGAATACTTTATAGGAACAAATGTTTTCAACTACAGGGATTATTATCCAAAGTGCGCTACAGTCAATGATACAGGTGACTCCTGACTTACATGGGGGTTAGGTTCTGGCCACCTGCAAGCATAAATGAAATGTGTGTTAAGTGGGGAAGCACTTTGCTGCATTTCAAGCTTGCAAGGAGACCCGCCCCAAAGAGGATGTCCCCTTTGGGCTCTGGGGAGGGTCTCCTCATGAGCTGGAGGCGCAACAGGGCTTTATTGAGGCACTTCAGGTCTTTCCCCCTAATTCTGGTTTCCAGTGGCATGCATATGCACAGTCACACATCACTTGAATACACATAACTGGGGTGGGTGCCTGTACTTTTTCAAATAGCCTGGACAGAACCAAAAGCCCTATTTTATTTTGCATGTGCTTTTTTTTTATAAAAAAAAGCAGTTATGATTAATTTTCACTGTTTTGTACAAGACCTTAAAACGCATACATGTAGAAAGATTGTAGGAGTATTCTGTGCATGGTACTCTCTATACAGTGGTACCTCGGTTTACAAATTTAATCCATTCCGGAAGTCCGTTCTTAAACCGAAACCATTCTTAAACTGAGGTGCGCTTTCCCTAATGAGGGCTCCCGCCGCCAGTGCCCTTCAACCGTTCAGATTCCATTCTTAAACCAAGGCAAAGTTCGCAAACCGGGACACTACTTTTGGTTTTGCAGAGTTTGTAAACCGAATAGTTCGTAAACAGGGCTGTTCTTAAACTGAGGTACCACTGTAACTTTTTGATCCCCCCACTTATGGACAATAGTGCCTTGTGTCATATTTCAAGCTACAGTACTTTGAAAGTCTCCCCTGTGTCCCTTGCTTCACAACCCATTTACTATGTGGCCTGGGAGACTGCTGTTTTGAGAAACAGAAGCCCAAAGTTCCATTAGGCATATGCTCTCTAATGCAGTTCTTTAAATCCAAGGCAAAGTTAAGAAAAGAAAACATGAAAATACATATTCTATACAACAGATAAATTTGGATATTTGTATTTATTTATAGAATTGATAGAATTATTCGATATGAAGAATACAACAAAAATTATGATCCAAATCCAGTGTTTACATCTTGTTGAAACTGAGTATGTAATGAGCACATAACTACAGTACTGGGTTTTCTATTGTGTAGCAAAAGGAAAGATGGCAGGTTGTCTTTGTGAAAGTAGATGTGGGGTCTGTGTGTCTGGTCTGTGTGCGCGCACTCTACCACCAAGCTATGGTCCCACAAAGCTATGCTCCCTTCCGGCTTTCAATCAGGCCAGAGGTTTTCAACCTTTTTGAGTCCATGGCTCCCTTGAGCAACTACATTCTTTCGGTGGTACCCCTGTGGGCCTCAAAAGCCCAGTTATGTCACCCGTTGCCCGCAGAGCAGGCAGACTCTCACCTTTTTGAACATCCTCCCTTGTGAGGTGTTCCCTCAGCCTCCTCTCCCCTCTCCTTGGGAGTCCTCTGAGCTGCCCCCCCCTCCGCCCCAAAGAAAGGTGCCTCCACACACTGCCCCATAGGGGCCTGGGACTTGTCTGTCCATTCCCAACAGCCAGGGCTGGTGGACTGGCTGGCTGGTCTCCCTCACCCGCTTGCTTGCTTACTCTGAGGCTGCTTCAGCTCCTGGCAACCAGCACCCCCTGACCAGCCCCAGAGGCAGCATTCGCCTGCGGAGCTTGTAGCCACGTCTGCCACAACTAACAGCTGTGCAAGCCTTTGGGAGGTTGAGATGAAAGAGGGCATCAGAGGATGAGGGAAGGAAAGAGGGACAGATGCCAGTGTTGCACCCATGACCATCATTCAAGGCACTCCAGGGTGCCACGCAACACTGGTTGAAAAACCACTGAATCAGGGTATTGCCTACTTGGTGTTAACAACTATAGTGAGTAAATTACCAAAATTATTGTGAGGTTTTACTAACTTCTGTAATGTAGGGGTGGGCCTATGGGATTCAGTTTGGTTTTTTTCCACTAAGACTCAGAACCACCAAACAGAAGGAGGTGCAAAACAGTGGTTTAGCAAGGCAAGTCTGCTTAGAATTAAGGAACAGGATGTCTCTGCACATAAGCTCTGCTCTAGCGCTTGAGATCTGGATTTGAACCAAGCTTGCAAGCCCCTTCTGCAAAGATGCCCACTCTTGCAACCCCCCCCCCCCGCAGCCTAATTCTTGCTATTGTCAGGACACTTCGGAGTCAGGAAACCTTCCGGATCTTCCGCAAATCACCTAGATATCCAGCAGCGGGTGCTAGTCTAAATTCTGCCCACCTCTGCTCTGTTCATAGAATTGGAGAGTTGGAAGGGACCACAAGGATCATCTAGTTCTAGTGCAACCCCCTGCCAGGAAGGAAAATGCAACTGGGGATCATATGGGGATCGAAATTGCAGCCTCTGCATTATCAGCACCGTTGCTCGAAGCAACTGAGCTATGCCCCATGTTGTCTGTACAAGCTTTTGGCTGCGGCAGGCAGAAGCTCAACAGGTGCAGCGCCTGCCCCGAGAGGCAGAGCGGGGGGTGGGGGGGGAGAGAACTTCACCTGTTGATTCTCTACTTGTGCAGCGGGTGAAACTCTGCCCTTCTCCCCATCATCACCAAAACCTTTCAATCCTCACTCACCTCCTGGTCTTCGTTCGCCGTCATGGCGCGACACCGGAGGAAACAGGAGCCCCCCCCCAACCAACTCCTTTCACTGCCCACCGTCCCTCCTCCCAGGTGATCGCGACGCCCTCCTCTCCGCCAGGGCGAGATCCACGCAGCCCCGACTGATCCCGACAGCCGCCTACCCGTGCGCGTGCGCCGAAAATGACAAGGCGAGGCGGGGTCACGGCACCCGCGTCCTCACCGGCCTTCCTATTGGACGCCGGGGTCCACCCTTCCGCGTCTTGTTCCCGGCTGGCTATTGGCCACAGGCTCTTTCAGACACGCCCTCTGGCTCGCTTGGGTTCCCTTACGCCAGTCCGGCCTCTTTCCTGGTCCTCATTGGCTCTTCGTCGAGCTCTAACGCCGCCCGCGCTCCAATGGTTTCGTCCCTTGATGAGTCTTGGCGCTCATTGGCCAGCTGGAGACGTCGCTCTCAGCTGGTTTCGCACCCCCACTCCCAACCCCCGGCTTGTTTGCTGGGCTCCTCAGTCAGGCCTTGGGCTGCTGCTGCTGCTGGTTGTGAACCCTTCTCCCTTCCTCCCTTCTTTCCTCCGTGGTTCGGTCGGGCCTTTCCCATGGACTGCGCCGGTGGAAGTTGAGCGGGGCCGCCTGTGGCGCTGAGGGGGAGCTGCTTCTTCCTCACCTTGCAGCGGCGCAGGTGGGGGTGGAGCGGGGCCGCGCGGGGCGTGGTGGGCTGCGAGGGGAAGAGGACGCGGGAGGGTCAGGCGCTGTCAGCTGTCGGGAGCGCCATGACTGGCTCCGGGAGGGGCCGCGGAGGGAAAGCGCCGGCCAGCGGCCTCGGGCGAGCACGGACACCGCCGAGAAGCTCGGGGAAAGTTGGGAGAAACCTTCTAGGAAGCCGCTTGGTCATTTATGGCTAAGCCACAAATTTATTTCAGGCTGCGGAGTTTGCAAAGCTAAGCAGGGTCCGGTATGGTTTCAGATTGGATGGGGAACCGCTTGTTGAGGTTCCTGGGTTGGACTGGATGACCCTTGGAGTTTTTTCCAACTCTACAATTCTATGATTCCATATACTGCTATCAAGGTGGTGGAAGCTGTGCCTCTTTCAATCCTAAGATTTTATTTACTATTGCATGTCGTATCAGCTTGCATTTGGGAAGAATTTAGTCAGAGGTATTTTTATTTTTTTTAGCATAGGTTTTTCTTTCTTTTCACTATTGGTGTCCCAGAATAACGATAAATGTATCTGAGTAACAGACCAGTTCATTGAAAATGTATACTTACTGTTTCAGATTTCCCTGCGAACCAACCATAACGATGAGCCCTTCGCAATGGGACTTTCCTGTGGAACTATGCTGCCGTCCTATGGCCTTCGTTACACTCACGGGTTTGGATGTAGTGTATAATGCTGTTCATCGGGCAGTTTGGGACGCCTTTTGTGCAAACAGGAGAGCAGACAGAGTACCAATTTCTTTCAAAGTACTCCCTGGGGATCATGAATATCCTAAATGTAGGACAAAGGTATTGCTTTTCATTTTATGTTTGGAAGTAAAGGATTATGTCTTGATTGTAAAATATATTTAATATAAATTACTTGCTATTTGCAGTGATTCTTGTAATTCTTTGAATAATCAGTTTTCCACTTGAAGGTTAATTGAATGCTGGAATCAGCTAAAGGGATACTTTCAAAAGGAAGCATATAATTGTAGCTTAAATCTAAAAACTGAGTTATTATATAGGCTAGAACCCTTATTCTGTATGTGACACAAGCCAAAGCATGCTTTGAAACTCTACATGAGACTATTTTAGGAATAAATTGACAGTTCTCACAATGGAGGGATTTAGAAAGTGGAGTCACCCAAGAATCCATATTGAGACTTCTGTTTTTAACCTGTCCATTCATAGTCTGAGTTAGGGGTGAACAGTGAGGAGGGGGAAAAATTGTGACGCGCTCCAAAATTCTTTCCAGACTGGGTGAATGGGCAATAAAATGGCGAAAGCAATTCACTGTAAGTGAGTATAAAGTGATATACACTGAGGGACGGGAAGTCCTGATTTCTTATATATGCTAGTTGGGTCTTACCTGACTGACGTGGAGCAAAGTCTTGGGGTTTTAGTGGATACCTCTATGAAGATGTTGTTTCATTGTACAGTAGCTGTTAAAACGGGAATATCACGTTAGGAATCCTTAGGAAACAGATTGGGAAATAAACCAATATTATAATACCATTGTACAAATCTTTATTGAGGCCACACTTGGAACGCTATCTACAGTTTTGGTCCCCTCACCTCAAGAAGGAAATTGTAGAATTGCAAAACAATTTGGAAAAGTTCTACCAAAATGCTCAAGGGGTTTGAGCAATTCCCCTGTGAGGAAAAGTTACAACAATTGTGCCTTTCTAATTTAGGGGGGAAATGGGAATGATAGAGGTATATAAGATTATGCATGGTGCAGAGAACGTGGATTGGGAGAATCGCCCTCCTTTATGATATTACAATTCAGGACCTTGGAAGATTCAGAATGGGCAAAAGAAAGTGCTTCGATCAAATGCATAGGAATATGCTCCCCCAAGATTAGATGGGCACCAACTTTAAAGAGAGATTAGGCAAATTCATGGAGGATAGGACTGTCATCATCTTCTGGCCATAATGCCTATTCTCTGCCACCAAAGTCGGAATCTTTTAATATCAGGTGCTGGAAGGTGTAAGTGGGTAGAACGCAGTTGTGTTCATGTCCTGTTTGCAAGGCTTCCCATAGGCATCTGGTTGGCCATTGTGAGAACAAGATGCTAGAGTAGATTGTGATTCTTGCTTTCTTACAATGAAGCATGTTTACGTAGAAAGTCCTCCTAAGTATAATGAAACTTTCCCTCAAGTGTATTCTGCTCTAGGCAGTAAGGTTGGTGATTAGCGTAGAGAAGAGAAAGGTTTGATCCTTTATTGTACTTCTGGTGGCCGTGATAGAGAAGGACAATGGGATAAAGCAGAATGTTTAAGTCCTGGCGTAAATATATCAGTCACCCAAACTTGTGTAAGAACAGAGAGAGCAGCTCACCTTGTTTGTCAATGCTTGCAGAGAACAACGTATGAATGGTACATTCCAAAAGGAATCTTGAAGACTGGCTGGATGAACAAACATCTGAACTTGGTCCCTGCACTTGTTGTGGTGTTTTATGAACTGGACTGGGATGAGCCCCAGTGGAAAGAAAAACAGTCAGAGTGTGCTACTAGAGTTGAAATTGTCAGGTATGATTTCAAAATATTTCTTAGGTATTAGCTTAGTAATGGCTGAATACAAACATATTTGGGGAAAAGTCATCATTCACAAGCTCCTTTCTTCCTCTTTCAAGACAGATAAGCAGGGTGCAATTCTGAAGTCATTGGGGCTTACTTCTGAGTGTAGAATTTCACTGTAATTTACATATGTAAGGATGCTTTTACAACAGAAGTGTAACCATAGGCTGGATTTAACTTAATGAGTTCCACTAGTGCAGTGGTTCCCAAACTCTGCTCCTTGGAGCACTTGGTCTCCCTGAAGCATCTCCAAGTGCTTAGCAAATAAATAAACACACGCCTTTGGCATAAAGGCAACAGTAGTACTCCATTACGAATTTCTCTCCTGAAAAGTGCTCTGCAACTGAAAAAGTTTGGGAACTAGAGGAAGCCAGTGCACGGACCTCTGCAAGGACAACAGGGTTTTCTCTTTTCTCTTCCCCCTGCCTCCCCCCACCCAGTTGGTGAGATGAAAGGGGGCATCATTTTGACTGGCAAGCTGAAATGCTTGTGCTGACAGAATGATTGCTGTTGTATTATGTTGAATTCATCCCTATGTTTGAAATGCTACTTTTTAAAAAAGCACACATACCATCTTAGTTTACACCTTTGGGAAATCTAACATAAGTGGAAAGAGAGAAAGCCTGCTGCTGAGTTCTATTGCTTTCTTTAAAACAAAAACAGAAAGCCTCCTTTTAGTTAAGATTGTACTAAATGTTTGGTTTGACTTCACCCCCAGAGGCACACTCCATTGTCTCTTGAGACAGGGAACATTTATTACTAAACGTATTTTGCAGTATGTATGGTCTAAAGGCTTGCATGCGTACCACCCTCAGTTTGATGTTATTTATTGTTCTTACAGGCAGAGTTTGCAGGGAAGAAACACAAAAGTTGCTGTGGTTTTGATTCAGAAGAAAACACCGTTACCTCCAGGTGAAGTACAATTGAAAGCTAAAATGATCAGATTTGAAATAAATGAACACAGTAATCTGAAGTTGTGAAATACACCTGTTTTTCAGTAGAAGGCAGAAATGTGTGCCATAAAAGGGGGCGGTGGCGGCTTGGTATTACTGTAGGTTGAATGTTTTTCAGTAGCAGTTATTTTATTTATAAACATTTTCATATACCACTGTATCATAGAAATATATCACAGCGCCTTACAACAATATCAAAACACACAATTAAAAAAAACAGCTTAAAAGCAAAAGAATTAAAAGTATACAGTATATCTGTCTTAACCCTTGGCTGGAGACAGATGACAGAGCTGAGACTGGTTTGAAAGCCTTTTATGGAGTGTATAGTCATATCTCACTTTTCTCTCTGGTAATCAGGTTTTCTAGGTTCCTTTTTATTTGTGTTAAAAGCCTTTCACGCTGTCCTTATGGTGCAGGTTGACGTTCTTTTAGGAATCTAGTGCACCACGGGTTCGGATATATTGTAATCAACTGCAAAAGCAGTGTTGTTCCTGTAGGTCTCGCGGTCTTAGTTGTTTTTCTGAGCTGGAAGAAAAGACAAACTCCACACTTGCTTGAAAAGGGAACCATTAATCTTATATGTTGTAGTGCGCAATGAACTCATTTGCATGTCATGTAACTATGGTTAATAGTGTACCGTGAATGTGACAATCTGTCGCCCTTTGACAGATTTTCAGAAAGTAGATGGTTCAGTATTTTAAAATTTTTATTTTAGGAGAAGACGTTATTGCTTCTGAAAGGGCAGCGGCTTTATGCAATGCTTGTGACCTCTCTGGAAAGTCACTGTTCGTTTTGCCACATACTGATCACCTTGTAGGTTATATTATAAGGTAAGTAAATTATGTGAGAGGCAGGCTTTTCTTTAGTTATTTTTTTACCATGGCCGAAATCATCCTCGTGCTTGCTTGAGAGTCACATTGCACTCAGTGGAACT